GAGAAAACTATTTTAACATGTGCAGCTCATCTACAGCCAGCTGTAGATGTTGTCACATTTTGAGATTTGTGAGTGTTTGTGAGTGTGTGTTGTGTTTTGTTTTATCACAAACATTGTGAGTGTTTTGTTTTATCACAAACCATTTTCTTTCTGCATGTCTATTATAAATAACTCCTAATATTTTATCGATTTCGTACAGATGTTTTTGCGATGTTGGAGGGTCATTGGAAGCAATTCGAGTTTATGGGCTGCGTCCAGTTAACATCCTTGTCTGCGGTAATGTATTTTTGGTAAACAGTCGTGACTCACTAGTGATATATGGATAATGCAATCGCATACTTAGATACATTCTACATGTCATTTATTTTATTCGAGAGACGTTCTTGGTATTACTCGCGCATCTTTTCTTGAACGAAGACCTTGCTTCCCGCTCTCTGGCACAATAAACAGTTGAAGGCAAAAGCTCGCAAGCTGATGATAACATTCCAAACACGTCGTTACTGGCGCGAAATAGAAACTATTTTCTGTTGAAGACGAGAACTTCTATCCATAATTTGCTCAAAAAAATCCAAGGAAATGACCGAAGCAGGTAAAGAACTCCTGAGAAAGTTAGAAAGCAAGTTATTGACAACGTTGCGAAGGCATGACTGATTCTCCAGAGATGGGCATTCCTTTATCAAATCTAGTGGCCGATTTCGTAACTAATTCCCCCACTCTACCCGCATTTCTTCAATCCATCATTCAAAAAAAGTTGCGCGAGCAATAACAATTTTTTTCTGAGGATTTGTTATTTTCCATTTTTATTAAAGGTATCAACAATCTTTAATTTTAATAGCAATGATCTCAATTATAAATAAAGATTATTTAATGAATTTTAACAATTTGCAAAATGTTAAAGAAACTCAGTTTAGTGCAGGCATTTAAAAAATATACAGACAATTTTATCTATTTTCTCGTTCCGCTGTTGATTATTTGTCACGAGGAAAATTTGAATGAATTGGTATTCGTCTTTAGATCCAGGAGGACGCCTGTGGTTGCATCTGACACTGTGAGGGTAAGGCCGCCGGCAGGGTTAACGTATGTAGGCATTCTAGCAGATCTGTTGTGCCCTAAGGGAGACTGGTGACAGCACTACGAATTCTCTCTGAGTGAAACATAAAACACATCTGACGCCTGGCCTGCTGTTTCAGATTTATTCCGTCAAAAAAAAAAACAACGGTAAAAACAGTATAAATGAATGTATGTGACATAAGGGGGAAAAGATAATTCTGCTTCCTGTTTCCTGCATGTTCGCCCGCGAATGACGTCAGTGTTCTTCAAATAACTTATATTGTTCTTAGAATGTCAAAGATCAAGAAAAGCCATCTTCAGACGTTTAAAATGTTTATTTTCGAAAACCTATTACACTGGTTGCGTCACATTACTTTATTAATCGACTTTATTGCTTCCATTCCCTTACCTACATGCAAATAAAATTTTGAAAACGTTCAACTACGTGATAAGCGCAGTAAGCCTTGAAAAATTCAATTGCTTTTGGAACAAAAAATCAACCTGAACTTCTCGTATTCTATTATCTACTCACGTGTTACTACAATAATGTGAAAAAAATTGACAACCTTCCAAGAGCTTAATGTGCGTATTGATTAGTAAGAGTGTGATTTACGCAACGAAAACATTGGAAGGCAAGAATGGAAAATATATTCAACGTTTTCGATCATTTCTTCAAATGTATGCATTGATGTGTTGAAATGTATTAGTATTGTAGTGAAAGACTTTCTCCGTCTTTTGAAGAATGGAACTTTGGAATTCAAATTCCAAATCGTGATGAGAATATCGGGTGTGTTTTGATATGTAGATTGAATGGTAATTTTAAATGTCTCCGAATCCTAGAATTATCTCGTTCTCTGCAATATTTCAGCGTTATACGAGTTTTACTGCAAATGAGGTGATGTACTTCCTGTTCTTGAATACTAAAATAAGAAACCAATATCCCACATTGTGTCACATATGTTAAAGAAATAAAATCCTTACATGTTAGAGAAAATCCCGAAATATTATTAACGTTTTAAAGAATAGCTCTCTTATGATGTGAGGCGGCATAAAACCAGTTTTTAATATACAATTATTTTCTTTGCCGATGGTAGAGGATTTTAGTCACCCACCCTTTTAAGAAGTGTGCACAGTTGAAGGAGCATAGTCAATTAATCATAGATCGTTAATGTTGAAAGGTTACTCTACATGGAAGAGTGAAAATATTCACCAACAGAAGGTTTAAACAATAAATAAATTCCCGCGTAATTGGAGAATAGTTTATCATTATCAAATACCACTTACTCCACTGTTCAAACGGTGTGAATGACGGGAATTCATGAAATTAATCGTCTTCTTGCAATAAATTACGGTTTTTTAAGAGTTAGATCTCCAACTAACAAGTTCTACTGCAATGAAATTTTCCTTCACATATTATTGTTGATTGGTAATTACCGTTAATCCTTTCACAAGAACCAGTTACAGTTACAATGAAGATATGAAATCCTACCCACATGGTTTCACGTACTGTACTCTTTCACTTATTTCAATGCTAAGGTCTCGGCTTGTTTAAAAGACCTGATGTAGGACCATGGCATGGTTCCGGTGAGTGTGGAGTCTGGCGACGTGTAGCTTGTCTCATTACATTGCTTACAAAATATCTCTTCCCGAAGAATTGCTTTAATTTAAAAAATGTGTTCTTTGGTTACCTCTTAAGCAATATTGCGATGTATTTTGATGGCATTCTATTTGTAAGCAACGCTATAATATTTATAAGTACGCCGTGCCTCCAGACGATGGCTTAAAATCTACTCATCAAAACTGCACAAATACAAAATAAGATAACGTAAACATTATATTCCTAGATTAGATCACACCAAGGAGAGTTTAAACTGTCGGTAAGTAAAATAATATATTTTCCGCCAGCTTAACCAGTTTCCACACCATCCTGAGTGATTGCCATTAAAGGAATCTTGTGCTGCTCTACGTTTTCTGTTGGTTTCAACTTGTGGTGTTGCCACAAACTCTATTCAAATGCTTCAAGGCAGGTAATAAAGAAACCAAGTAGTCTAATCTGGCTTCAAGAGATATCTTCACGATCATGATACGCGAACCCAAGTCGTCTCGGAAACGAGTAGTTTTTGACAAGCTTATCGACAAATGGAATACGTGCGAAATGTATGTATTTAAATTTACGTAAAAATACTTTAGTAGTAAGTTTTTCGAGGGACATGAGTCAAGAAAAGATATGCAGGTGATTTTGGGGCAATACGCGTTGGAAAGTCTCGCCTCTACTTGGCAATGCATGTCAAAATCGAGACAAACATTCCTCACGAATTTGCTACTTTTTTGCTAAGCAAACGTAACGTATTTGCTGCAAAAAGAACGACTTTTTGAATAATTACATACTAAATAACGCATTCCACGTATGTTCTAATCACATGTTTACTTCAGAAGTGTGTGAACAACATATACACACCCGAGACACAAGCACAACGTGGCCACAACCCCGCCCCCGCATGTACTCTGGTGCGAATAACACCGCTTCGCTGGTTGAGTTGTGGCTCGTGTAACACGTGCAGCATAAAGTTCTGTGAAACATCTACAGGAAAGAGAGCGACGATCCATCGACGAGATGAAGGTGAGCAATGGAAAAAACAGGGATATGCTGGCAGACAGCCCCCGAGGTGCGGACATAAGGCGCGCAAACTCTTAGGGGAACAACTAGGCACCAGCGAGTCTCGTAATCAGTGATGTCAGGGTCGATGCCACCAGCGAGAGTCGGGCGCGATGAACGGGTAGCACAAAGAAATCACCCCTCCAGGCAGTTGATCACCTCGCCACAAGAGAGCACTAGTTAATCAAAATGGCCCTGGCTGCCTTTTCGCTTTAAAGGAAATACAATTATTCGGGATGTAGATAAATTGAATATCGTTTGTTGTTACTTTTTTATATTACTTTTATTTTTCTGCGCATAATCCGTTTTTTTACACGTGATTTACCAAGTTGGGAAACGGCGGGGTTAGTTTCCTTTCCCGACACTAGTTGCGCTGAGAATCTCGTGGCATGTCACGGTGCCCGAAGCATGCTACTACTAGGAGACCTTGACATCATTGTTGTACATCAATCGCAATGCTGCAATATACGATGTTACCATCTGAGTGCTCATGGCACCCTCTTAAATATCCTCCTTCCTTCGCTGGCACGTCACTGCCCAGGTTCTGCCACCTTCATCGCCCCAATATTTCATGTGACAATCGTTGTGGCAGCCAATAATATTTTTTGTTGTAATGTTTCGTAATCAAAATTCTGAGAAAAATATGTTTCTCAGCTTGTAACCGCTAATTATGTATCTCCTTGGTATACTTCATTATGTCACTAAAAGAACAGTGAACAAACGTAAAGCAGTTGTGCGTCTAGACGACAGTTCACATTAATTTTCTTACTGTTTAACAAAAACCATCACCAAAACCACCACCATTACCACCACCACCACGATAATGTACTGTACTATTAGGGATGGCAACTAAATATAGCACTTACGGTATTTTCGTATATATATATATATATATATATATATATATATATATATATATATATATATATATATATAGGATTATTGTTGCAGAAACGATTATTCCTTCTTTCTTCTATATGCTTTTAATACATACAAAATTATCAAATTAAAAACATAATTAAATTTAAAATGTGATGAAGTGTTATTACAATTCATTATTAGCACAGAAGATTGCTGTATTTAAAGCTTACAACATTTTGTCATTTTATGGATTGTTTTTTAAACCTTGCTACTTATAGCAATGAGAACTTCGTTGACTTTAATTATGCAACAATTATTATGCAAATTATTCAACCAATGTTTACGAACGCTGCAGTTTAAGTCGCTACTTTATATGCATTTGAATATTATTAAAATATCGCTAATTGACATTTTAAATTAATTGCAATTTTTCAAAATGTTTCGTAGCAAAAACAATCTAGGTGATGTTTGTGTAGTAAACATCTGGATCCTTCTTTACTCTAGTAAGTAACTTAATGAACCCAAATAATGACGAATTTATTTACTCCGAATTTACTTCAGCGTATAGTTTCACATTCTCGAAAAAGTACCGGAACATCTAAATATAATAATCGAACACATATCGGCTATTCCTCCATTATACTGCCATACCAATATTTTGGTAATAAGAAAATGTAGACGAGGCTTCTTCAGACAAAGTCAAAGAAGTATTAGCCTTCCAAGAGAATTATACGCAGCGTTGCCAACATATCGGCCATGTCACTGAGATCTTCTCGTCGATCGCCCTGAAGAAGTTCGCAGGTCGACAACCGATACGTTAGTTACTCTTCCTAGAAGAAGGCGTTTTTCGAACAACAAAGGCTCCCTTTCAAAAACAGTTGCCATCCCTACGTACTACACCAACCGTAGTGGTCCCAACCTCCGCGACGACGAGCGTGGCGCTAAGGCGAGGGCCCGGCGACCGATGAGGCTGTGGCGGCGGCGGCTTCGGCGAAGCAGCAGAAGGCGGGATGCAGCAGCGCGAGGCCGCCCATGGGGCGCTTTCCGGCGATGCTGCAGCCCTCGCCCTCGCAGCCTTCACCTCGGCCGCCCCCTCAGGGCGGACGCCCGGGCTCCTCCGTGCACGCCATGATGACGTCTTCGTCCTCCTGCGCAGCCAGCGCAGACACGGTTAGCCCCTGCCCCACCACACACACTCTGGAGGGTCATCCGGCTCGGAGGACCAACTTTTACAACTTACAAGTCACTGATTATGTTGTGGTTCCGCGAGCGTTAACTTCTCTGGACATTAATCTCGTTAGTGTAATAAATGTTAAATACTGGAATGTGGTGGTATGGTTCACCGCCCAAATGTCAGATTCGGTGCCCAAATACGTCGACGTGCGGGAAATTTCCCTCATCCACGAACCTCCACCAGCCAGTCATCACCCCTGTCGGAACAAGCTTTAAGCTCCCTCGACATGAGAGGTAGTGGAGATCATGGAATTGTAAGTGCGTCTGTTTATGTCAGGAGGAGACAATGTGGAGGAAGGAAAATATCCCACGCGGTCCATAACCCGTTTGTTAATGTAGGGTTATTCTCTATTGTTCGTCTACAATTGAACAAAGAAACCAAAGAAAGCTACCGAACAGAACAGCCTGCAGCTGCAGTTCTCCAGCATCTTAGGTATTTTCAAAAAAAGAATGTTCAACATACGTCTGGTCCACGCATAGTCAGATACGTAACAATAATATATTGGAACGTTCAGAACTGATACGGTTAATAAAAATATGCTAAAACGCCTTTTTATTAAGTTGTTGTATATTAATCAATAAATACCGAATACCAAACGAATACGGGTATTAACGACTTGTTGAAATAGTATTTTTTATGAAACTGTCTCGGTTTGCTATAAGAAACAACACACATTCACCGAAAGTACTTTATAAAATATCTTAAATACACCTCTTAAGTTTTACATTTTCAAACTCGTTATATTACCCCCAATGGCTCGGGTTGGCCTATTTTCGAAATTTGGTTGAACTTCGTAATGTGTGCTAGCGGAAAACAAAGAGGTTATTGTGGCCGAGTGGCGACTCCGTTCTTAGGTTTTGGTTTTTGTTTAGGATTGGGAGAGACGGGCAGAGGGATACGGGCAGAACGGATATGTGATAAATAAATATCCAGGCAACACTCGATTTCTTCAGCTAGTAAATAATAAAACTCAAAGGGTTTCGGATAATTCCCCACAACGAATGGAGCATTAAACGGTGTGCACTATGGTGTGCCGTTGAAAAGGAAACGGACTGAAAAAAGAGTGGACTGATTGTTGGTGAAAGGGGAAATAAATAGGTAGTGCAAGTCGAAAGGAATGATACATTGTTATACATATTTTCAATTTTAATGCAACAGATCTTCATACATCGCAACAGCAACATTTAATTTAATGTACAAAAGCTGAATTTGTATTCACTTGGAAAGCGCTGTTACATTCTGAGGGTGAAACACAGAGAACGCATTTGAAAACAACGTTCACGTGAGTGACTTGTCATTGATAAAAATACTGGAAATGATGTGTTCAAGATATCCTGCGTTCAAAATATTTCCAACTCAGTATTGATTTACAAGAATAGTAAGTTAACTCAATAATACAAAATTTAATGAGATTATTTAAAAGTCTTAAGAATACGTTGAACAAGACGTTAATTTAATACGAAAGAAATAGGTTATAATTAAGTTAAGCAAGATAGTTAAATACGTAAAACTTCCTTTTTACTTATATATAATGGGAAATGAAATTAATATTTAAATGAGTGTGGGCAGACTTAAAATCACCTTTCAATGTAATCTTATGAGAAATGAATAAAAGAATTTACCATAGAATTAAGTTAATAAAATCAACACTAAATTACAAAAAAATGTTTTTCACTTTTAGTATCACTTCCAGATTCCAATGGATATTTCCCAACATTATCATCCACTTACAGTTAGGCAAATACCACAAAACATTATTTTGTAAAATTGATTAGCAAGCATAAATAGAAGAATGCACCGATAACCAGACTAGCGTTTGTGTGATGCTGGTAGTCACACATAATCAATGAGTACAGCAAACTATTCCATCCGCATTGACAAATACTTATAACATTTGTTTACAATTGGCTGGCACAAAACAATGAAACGAAATATTTTAGGCACGCAGTAGCAGTAATGGTTCAAAACCAACTGATTACGAAATAAAAGGGACAACCCAGATCTAGGGCCAAGATAGAAAAGAGTAAAGAACGAAGATAATAAATAGTTTAGCTCCCATTAAGCAGAACAATCTGACAGTGCAATTACATGTACATGTAAATATACTCTGAATTATAATAAATTCAAAATTTTTGAAATTTAAATTCGGTTTTCAAATTACTCTGGCCGCTCCAGATTGTGCCTGCTCCATCCAAAATCCGTTAAAAAGCGTCCTTAGTAACGATATACTCGTAAATGTATTTAGCGTGTGCTGGTACAAATAAATTCAAGTTAAGGCGTAGACGACTATCATTAACGCGACGTCTGCATGTTAGTTTGAAGTGTATTGGAAACAGCAAAATCTCTGAATTTGAGCGAATTTCAAGGTAAACAGTACATTATTGATACTGCATTACACTACGTTATATCACATGAAATCTCACTATATTTCATTTAGCTTCGTGGAATGTGAAAGGTAAATATTTTTCAATTCTTTGTTACAGTATCTGTAAATAACCAGTATTTTCTCTTTAAGGTAAATTGTATTATTCATAAAGTGTTTGAAAATGTCGGTGTAAAATGAAATATAATCTTGAATCAATTAATAAATATTGACTTTCATCAAACTACGATTCTCATAATGACAGAAATACTAATAATATTCGCAGAAAACTATCAGATTTTGTTGCGAATATCTATATCAGAAATTTGAAACACTGCAATATGCAATATGCAATATTATTGCACTAAAAGGCCATGATATAAAAGTCATTAAAAGACATTATAACGCTTCTGAATGTTCCAACCCTAAAAATGTTTTCGGAAGATAAAATGTGAAGATGAACTATCGTATAATAAAAGTCAAAATGATACGGGAAAAATAACATTTTAAGAATGATTTATTGTATAACTTTTCAAGGATATTCGCAGAGATTATATTTCTTGCTGCGAAAATAATATTACTATATACCAACACGACCAGCGTGTTATCGCTTTTTTTATTCTAATGTTTCTAGACAATGACTTCTAAAAATGTTTCAAAGAACATTTAAATTGTTTCTTTCATACCCTGATAAAACATGTCTTATGAACTACAGTACGTAAAATGGATTAAATGACCCATTAATAACTATCATTAAAGTAGTGACATTTGTTAATGCTAATGAACAGGACACAAACATTGGAAGCTCTTTATCCTACATCGCTTATCCAATTTACAAACCATTCAAAATTTACTGTATATACTGACAGTATTACAATAATAATTTTTGTCAGTCAACTAATTGAGCAAGACATGTACACACTATTCATGAAAATTGGTAGTATTTGGTGTTTCGGAACAATAATTTCGTATTAGAGAATTTGTTTACATTTAGCTTGTTGATGAATCTATTTTAAAGCCATACGTGCGATCTTTTCATACGGAGAATGAGGTGTTAGAATCGTTTTCACAAGCATCTAGAATGATGAAACTTGTGTAACAAGTAACGAATGAAATAACGAACATGAGAAATTGAAATGAAGTTTCATGTGACCTTAATTTATAACAGTAAATGCTTTTTGTGCATGCTAAAGATCTTAACTAGCAAATGAGATTCGTGCACGAAACACTATCAAACATTCCAATCTCAAATAATTTGATTTGATTATGTTACGCAGTTGCCTTAACAATGAGAAATGTAAACGGTTTCATAAAACTCACTTCCATTTTCATATTTATGATATTTCAGCACATAGACTTCGAATTCCCTAAATGGAAAATAAGGAAACACTTAGGTTTTGCAATTTTTGGATCATTTCAACCGATAACCGTGAAATCCTCGGCGTAAGGCAGCCATTTACTGAAATTATTAATCAGACATTTTTATTAGATTTTACATTGTTCTTACAGTAGTTTTTATCAAAACGATTTTAATAAGAATATCCGAAATTCAAGATATCTCTACAATTTTGATCGCGGTAAGCGCTACACAGTCGAATGTTAAAAACCAGGAAAATCTCAATCATCGGACGGGAATAGAACCCGCGATCACCCAATCACTGGCACACTCTAGTCGCAAGGCAATACCTTAACCTCTTCAGACCCTTTTGATTTAATATTTTCGTACTTATAATTATTCCTGACATGAAAGAAAATGTCATAAATGGGGGAAAATGTTTCGAAAATTTTTGTTTCCATCACAGAAATATTTATTGTAACCTAAAGGTTACATTAGTTCCTTATTTTTCGGAAACATTCTTCATGTTGAATTACATGCATGTCGATTGATAAATAAAGCAAGAAAATGTTGAAAATACATTAATTGAAAGCTCACAAACTTCATTACAAATTACGGGACGTGCTGCCGCCATCTTCTCTTGTGGTCCTGAAATGGACCAGACGATTAAACAAAGTAAGCTTGCTACTCAAGCGCTTAGCGCTAACTCTGAAGAGACCCCACAAACTATTCGCAGGTGGCTACGTAATTGGATTTAGTGGGGGGGACGCGTGTAACCTTTAAGTTACACGGGAACTGAGAAGCTTGAACATAAGCGTGTCACTAATGGCAATGGTTAACAGTCGCATCGAGAGGCAGATGTTAACTTCAGGCCCCTGTGTACTTTGTTTTCAATATATTTCTTTAGGTAAGAAATTACAGATTCTTTTTTCTATTTTTTTATTATTAGAACCTTACTGAACCCTTATTAGACCCTTACACCCAGTTTACACTGTTCAACTTGAATGATTTCGAAGTCCTAGGCGAAGGGTGCATGCTGCCGCCTCAGAAATAGCTTTGCGTATTTATTCCGAGGTCCGCTCCCTCCACCACTTACCCCGTTGGTGTTTCCAGGGTACTGGAATGGCATTGGTACAAGACTGTTCATCATTATATTTTTGTTTTATTACTATATTATGTCATAAAATATATTACACATGTGTCTTTTTTGAGAAGTTAAGTATGTATGTCCAAAGGCAAACATGAACAACTCAGCATTCTCTTCAGAGCTTTTCCTAAAGCCGTTAAAAAACACGACCGAGATAAAAATAATTAGTATTTCCCTTCGAGTATTATTATTAGAGTATTATTAATTATTATTATTATAATTATTATTTATATATTACAATTTTTATTTCATTATTGATTTTTTCAACATATCAATTGTTACGGCAACAATGACATGTTGTCCCAGTAGTGCCACTCGTCCCACCCGTCAACTTGCGGGGGATTTCGCCCTAAGTAGTCCCCAGCTTGACACTGCTTCAACCTGGACAAGCTCTAAACTCAAGGTCTCCGGTTATGACATGTGTGGTAGTATAGTGGATCTGTGTAGGTATAAGGGAAGAGGTTAGGTCAAGAACGAGAAAGGAATGATCGCGCGCGGTCAGAGGCCTCGTTTGTTAAGCTACTATACTGGCATTCGCCTGGAACTGATCAGAGAAACTATTAAAAACTACCGATCAGTGCCACCGGCTGCTAGAATTCTCCAGGCTGTGACTGAATTCAATCTTACAATATATGAATATTGTATCGTATCGAAATGTCTTAACTAACGTAGATCATTGAGCTGCCACAATCGTTTATTACTAACAATTCTTGAATTTTCTCGTCGAAGATGGAAATTGTAATTCACTATAAAAGTCGGGGACGTAAATACCCAAAATATGGCAAAGGATCGTAATTAATCCACCGAATGATATGATCAGCTTATTTTCGTGCATTTTGTTTCAAATTAGATTTTTGATAAAAATGTAGGTCACTTCGGTGATAATAATTGATCTGTACTGTCCGAGTGACAACATGCTACGCACAGTTGCCAATATTTTGGTCGTCAATCTGGAAAATCGTTTCGTCCTGAAAAAGGTCAGAATGTGACGACCGAAACTGCTGAGGACTTGGTGTCTCTCACTCAGTGAAACATCGATATTTTTATGTTAGTTGTTGATTAACGCAAGATTTTATCTTTTTCCTACCTAATGTGAATTCAGTGTTTCGACTTTTTTTACGAAGAGATATATAGATATGCGACTAGATATGCGACAGTCAGAATGGAAAGCCAAATAAAATAGAAATAACCGGCAAATATCTCGATCGTCCGTAAACATCTACGGCGTTTCCTCGTGAAAAGAAAACAACAGACGAGGCAGAGATAGAGGGTGGAATTATTGATTTCATGGGAAAGCAAAGACTGTACTTTTCAACGCGATAAAGGAGGGCGTCAACTCGTGGTTGTAACTGTAGTGTCGGAAAGCTATATTCGCAAAATTAGTCTACTATGAGAAAAACCTTCATTTTTTATAAATTGTGACGATTATTTACTTACTAATAAGAACAAGAAACCCTGCTTTTTTAAATTTTAAAACATCAATACTTAGAGAGCTCATTTTGTCCCTAAATCATTACACAAGGACAGAAAAGTAATTTTTTGTTATCTATCTATTATTTCTTTATTATCTGGATTAACCACTATCATCAGTCATTACAATCTAATACATCATTAACAAGGTCATTCAACTTACTTTCAGTAACAATGTTTTTCGACAGACCGAATTGATCACTAAAGAAATGTATATGAATCTGCCATGCATTGTTTTATTGATATTTCACATCACGCCTCGAATTCACCGTTCCTGAAGAAAAGTTGGTATTAAACATATCAGAGAGTTGTATAGATGATGAATTACCGAGAGTAAGAATACTAACGTAACTGATACGATACGTCTGTAAACCTTTGATCTGCCACTTTCTGTAAGCACTGGTAGCTACTTAGCTTAAAGGTAGGCGAGGCAACTCATCTCATTTTGGAAAACGCGAGTCCTGCGAATGATCAATGGAGAGAGCCACTTAGGCTCCATTACCTCCGGTACCTGTTAACAATTAAGGCTACGCCTTTTGTCTCGAGTGTCCTGGTGTTTGCGTGTGGCGATGGTGAACAGTTAGCGTATCGAACTGTTAAACCGACGTTGGCGGGTTTAAAACCCGATCGAAGCCGTGGATTTTTAAAGGCAAAAAAATCCTTCGTACGTCTTCCTTCGGAGGGGCAGTAAAGCCGTCTGTTCCATGTTAGGAGATTTATTTGCATGTAAAAGATCGTCTCCGCTAGTTGGTAAAATGAATGTAGCAAAATTTGCGTGGTCAGACGTAAGAGCGGGCCTGATGGCCCAAGTCTAGCCATGTAAAGTAAGGCATCAATTCAATGCAATTCAATTGGGAGGTTACGTGTTTTATTTCCACCAGGTACCTCAAATTTATTTGATACGTGTAGCATCAGCGAGTTCGCAACACCTGTCGGCTTAGAATTAGTCGGTCGACTACTGATCGGAGGTGTCCGTGGTTTTGTTTTATTACTTCCAGGAGAAAGCCGAAGCAACTCTCTGTAATACGAGCCACGGACCAAGGTCGACCCTTCCTACCCAACCCTGCCCCCCATCCCCATTTTTGGGAGCGAGCGACGAACTGTTTTCGTACTCATCCAGTAAAAAATCTCCGTTTATTGTCGGAGGTAAGCCTAGGAAGAACTATGTGCTGTTGAACCACAAAACTAATGTAATAATAATAATAATAATAATAATAATAATAATAATAATAATAATAATAATAATAGTTAGGAAGAAGGAGACGACGACGAAGAAAAAGAAGAAGAAATTATTAAACGCTTCAATCTAAATAACTCATTTACAGTTCATGTTTCCTAAGAATCAGGTATTTTGACAATCGACAATTTTAATATTTTCGAAAGAAAAACGCTAATGTTTGGCAATTGAAGGAACATTCACACCTCAATCCATATATAATCCGAATTATTTTTTTAATCGAGTCTGAACCAGCAGGCCCTAATTTCAAGATTCTCAGCCATGTTCGGCAACATCTGTGACGAAAACGCCAGCTAATGAATATAATTGTATAAAAAAACTGGCCAGCATGTTGTAGATTCGGAGAGACATGTTTTTCCAATACACTCCGATATTTCAGTAACAAATCACATTCGGCATATGCTAGAAAGCAATATTAAGAATAAAAAATGCAAAATTCGCCGATGGATTCGTCAGAGTTCGGCATATATTTTATGTACAGAGTAGAGAAGTAGATAGCACCAAGGAGCAAGTCCAGGATGTTTTTTTTATATGCGCCTCATTAAAAGCAAAAATACTACACCACGTTCAGAACAATTGCATGTAAACGATATATTGGTTCAAGAATAATAGATTATACTAGTTATATGAACGCAACGTCACCGTAGACTCAGTCAGAGATATACAGACCATGAGTAAGGAAACTCACACGAGATACACATATGATCCTTGACGCAATTCACATTTTGACCATATAGGGCGTATATCCAAAGGTTTAAACATGTAACATACATCCGTTGTCAATAGCAGTACAAAATAAAATGAGCAGGATAAAACGTGCTTATGGGTCGTACTTCCGGTGTTCAAACTCTTCAGCTTTTGGTGTTGCCTTCTTTTGAGAAGTTGTGGTCCATAATCTTTCCAAAAGAAAGGAAAGGTGTCAAAAGAAAAGATATAATTTGAAATGAAAAGCAGCATTCAGAGAAAAACGAAAAAAAATTGTTACGGTTATTTAATAAAATGTAGTCCGATAGTATTGTCAATAATTCTATATATTCAATTCTTAGAATTACTTTATTTTAGTAGAAACGTTATAGCAACAAATATATTTTATTAGACGAATATTACGAGAACTAACGAAGGCAATAAATATATAATTACCGATTTTAAACAAATATTATCTTAATGTTTCACATTAGTTGTTGAACCTTAACTCAGATTGCCCAACCCTATTCAAAGGCTTATCCGGTGTGCATCCTGCCTATTATTTTAGTGTTTCACATGACTTGCTATGGTTTTTTGAATAAAATGTGGAAAATTAAACTATATTCGTTGAACAAAAGCTACTACAAAGTGGAACCTCACCGTAGGTTGCCTATCTCTGTTCCAACTCTTATCCCGAATGTGCCACCAGTTATCCTGCCCATTACTCGAGTGTCTCGCACGACTGCGTAATCTCGAGTAAAATTTCGAAAAGTTAAGTCCCTCTTCCTTGAACGAAAGCGACAAAAATTGACAATTTAGCTGTAGGTTGCCCAACCTTTTTCAAACACTTAGTCCAGTGTGATACCGGTTATCCTGTCAATTATTTTAATGATTCGCATGACTGCGTGGTTTCCTCAAGTAAAATTTTGAAAAGTAAACCCTATTCGTTGAAAAAAAGCATCATAAAAGCGGAATTTCGCCGTAAGTTGCCGAACCCTGTTGCTTATCCCGGATGTGCCACCAGTTATCCTGCCCATTACTCCAGTACGACTGCATATTCTCGAGTAAAATTTGGAAAAGTAAACACTAACAATAGCATCTTAAAAGCAGAATTTCGCCGTACGTTGCCGAACCCTGTTCCTTCTCCCGGATGCTCCGCCGGTTCGTTCTTCCACGTGTTACTCTAGTGCCTCGCACGACTGCGTGGTCTCCGCGCGGCCGCCGCGGCACGCCAGCCACGCGTGCGCCGCGGGCCGCGCGAAGAGCCGGCCGCCCGCGCGAACCCACACCTTGGTGAACGTCTTCTTGCGTTTCTCCTTCTTGGGCGGCCCCGACGCCGCCGGCGCCTCCTGAGACGACTGCTGCTGCTGCTCCTTGAGCGGCGAAGAGCTGGAGCGTTCCCCGGCGCCGCCCAGCGTCACCAGTTCCTGCAGCGGCTCCGTCAGAGGGTCCTTGTCGCGCGCCGAGTGCACGAGGGTAAACGGCAGCTTCAGCGACAGCTCGCCGCCCATCGCGCCCACCGCCAGCTTCACCTGCGGGCACGAGGAAGCGACGGCGTTGCAGAACCACTGTTAAGGTTTCAGGGCTGTGATGCTGACGACACTGCACAAGGGGTTTAAAAACTGGGCAGAATCTTAATAGAAACGACATAGATCAGCGATTGTGTCCGAAAATATTCATATCATCATATTGATTACATGTGTACTAACTTAATCAAGTGAATTTAAAGTACTTTTTTACCGACGAACATACTGTTCATTTTGAGCAGTTTGCATATTATTCAAGCAGCAAAATTACACGGACAATTCACAGCTCAAATTGGCTCCTTTAAGGGAGTACATCCACATTGATGTAATAGCCGACAAGGATGGCGAACACTGCTCACAACTGGGAGCTAGGGGGAGATATGTGCAAGCAGTCGACGTAGATGGCGAAGAGGTTGCGCTCGGGGAGGAAGGAGGGACAGCTCTCACCGTAGGGTAGTAGTCGACGTAGCTGGCGAAGACGTTTCGCTCTCACCTTGACGTAATAGTCGACGTAGCTGGCGAAGTCGTTGCGCTCTCACCTTGACGTAGTAGTCAACGCAGATGGAGAAGACGTTGCGCTCTCACCTTGACGT